AAAGCATCTAGTATGGACCCCGTGTGCTGCACACAGCATCCATCTTATGTTAGAGGAGATCGGTGAAATCAAAATTGTGAAGGAGACTCTAAAGGAAGCAAGGTTAGTGTCGAGATTTATATACAACCACTCTAAAATTTTATTTCCGTTTAGATAACACTCTAAGAAAAAAGAGATAATCAGGCCTGCTATAACCCGCTTTGCGACCGATTACTTAGCTGTGGACTCCATTCGATAATCTGAAGGTGCATTAAAGAGATTGTTTACCTGTGAAGAGTGGTTAAATAACGCCTCTCGAAGTCCAGTACCGGTATAAAAGTGGACAACATAGTCTCAAATAAGCGGTTCTGGTCTCGATGTTCCAGTGTTGTAGAAGCCACTGCCCCTTTGGTCACGGTGTTAAGAATGATGGATGCTGACAAGAAAGCTACCATGGGTATTATTTATGAAGGTATTGAGAGGGCGAAATCAGCTATTGGGGAAAAGTGTAATTTTGCTAACTAAGTGATCGAGATTATAGAAAAGTGGTGGAACACTAAATTTGGACGTCCAATTCATTATGCTGGTAAATATATATTTATATCATTACAATGTTTCAGTTTAAATCATTTTTTTATGAAATTGTAAATGACATTTTTCTACCTATATATTTTTTAGGTTACTACTTCAACCCAAAATTTTTCTATTTGACATTTGAACAACCCCACAAGATTATGGAAGGGGTCAAATACATTATTGCAAGGTTGGAGAGAAGCCATCGAAACCAAGTAGCAGCAATATAAGAGGTATTATCTAATGTTTGGGTAAGAACTTCATTGAGTTGTTATATTTGTGAGGAATAATACGCTAAAACGTAATATATTTGTTTTAGCTTACTATGTATAGGGATGCTATAGGATTCTTCGGAACTAGACTTGCCATGAATTCTCGAACTATGATGGATCCAGGTTATCCCCTCGCTAATATTTTGTTCATTCATATATTTAATCTTATGAATTGTTCTTGCCCTTACAATGCTTTTTGCATTTTAATGCAGCTGAATGGTGGGAGATATATGGTACTGATGCACCTCACCTAAAGAGGATAGCAATCAAAGTGCTCTCCCAGACATGTTCTGCTACTGGCTGTGAGCGCAACTGGAGTACGTTCCAATGGTTGCACACTACTAGGAGGAATCGACTCGCTTCTGAGAAACTTTATAAACTAGTCTACGTTCATTATAATTTAAACCTCAGAGAGCGACAAATAAGAAGGAAGCTTGGAGACTATGGGCCGATAGACATAGACACAATATTTGTCACAGACACAGCAGACCAATTGGTAGTAGAAGAGGAGGAGCCAGTGTTGCATAAGAGAGCGTTCCTTGAGGCTATCGGTGATGAAGATCTTGAAGAAAGTGATGAGCAGCATGAAAGAGGAAGCAGCCAGCCAACGTATCCACAATTCGTCGGAGATGTCGGTGATATTGCACCTAATGAGGGAGAGTGGGAAGGGGGTCTAAGAGAATATGAGAGAGATGATGATTCTGAGGCCACCCTATCCCAACCATATTATTCACATATCGAGTCCCAACAGCAACAGTGTAGGGATGAGCACGACAGTGCAGTTGAGTATGAAGGATGGACAAGCTTCGGGGATTTTGGATTAGGAACACAACAAAACATTAACACTCAAGGATTTGGGAATAGTCAGACGCCTGCTAATATCGATGATTCCTTTTTAGATCGAATCAATGAATTGTCAAATGAATTCAATCAATGGCACCAGCGTGACCAAGAAGAACAACAACGTCGTCTATCATTTTATTTTTAGATCGTATATTACTAATTTTATGCTTTATTGTAGTCCATGTATGTTGATATACTTATTCCATGATAATTTTATGTTTATCCTTTTGTGTGATGTAAATTAAATGCTAAATGGCGGTTCATGTAAGGAAAGAACATATCAATATTCGCATATTCATTCAAAAACATGAAAATTCTTAATGGAATACCCTCATTTCTTATTGAATTATTGAAAAACAATATTTATAATGAATTTTAATAATTTTTTCGGATTTTTTTGAAGCTTTATTCTACCCGATTCACCCGATTCCCGATCCGGATCGCCAATTCGCCGATCCGGATCGATTTTTTGGGTGCCCGATCCGGGTCACCGATCCGTTTTTTAAACCATTGGTTAGAGCCCTAGAATGTGTGGAGGCTTATATTTTTGCATTTATAATATTTGTCTTTCTAATAAGCGAAAGTGTCATTCCATTTACTCCCTAAGCTAAAATCATATCTAGAAGTAATTTTACAACCCCAATTTTGAGGATATTTTCCTCAACTCAAGGGACCACCCTTCAGAAAAGAAAAACAAAATGAAAATAAGGTTCTGAATGTGCTTGAATAATTGAATAACCTAAGCTAAGATTGAACAGAGGCTGTATGGTTTCTGGACAATCAGATTAAGTGTTTAAAAACTCGAAATCAAAATGTTCTTATTAATTTCTCATCTATTGATGCCAACGTGGATCCCTAAATTTCGGTCTAACAATCACGTGCCATCATCCAGATGAAGAATGGGATCAGATGGGATCACCGAATTTCACTCAAATTTCATTTTGAATTAATAACTTTTTATTTAAAAATTACCTTTGATTTTATTGTTGTGCCATCATCTAGATGAAGAATGGGATCAGATGTTGGAGAAATCTTAACACTGATTGCTCTGCAATTGAAGCGGATGGTTCCAGGTGGTAACTCATTTGCTAGAGTTTCCATAAGATCACTCCTTTTCATACATCGCAGCTCTTCTTTTCTACCAAATCATAGACAAAATCACAAATTTTCTTTGTGTTTAGGGTTTCTAGGCGGCGATGGTACATCCTAATTTAATTATTGGAATTATCTATAAAAAAACTATTTATCTTTTGTACGTCACAATCACTCTTGTCCCTTAAATTTCAAATGAGTAGTTGTGAGAGTATCATTGAATACATACAAAGTTCTAAAAAAAAAATTTCTCAGACTTCGTGATTCACCCCAAACCATCTAATTTGATATCTAATGAGTGGAAATGATTGTGACATCTATATAAGAAAGATAAATAGCCTCTATATAGACAATCCCTTAATTGATTTCTCTATAGAAAACTTTTTGTATAAAGGTGAATGGGTCTATTATAGATTTTTTTCTTTTTATTAAAATTATAGTTAAAAAATAGCAAGTTTGAATAAGACCTAGCCAAGTCAAACGTGAACCGGATCTCGCTTGGTCTGAGTCCCTCATTCAATCAAGACTCGGATTTTTTTTGTGGGTTTTTTTTTTCCTTCTTTTTTGGAGTGGAAAAATGAAACCCCAACAATTGATTATTGCCATCTAATGGTTGGGGAGGGGCTGCAAACTGTAGGAATACAAATGCAAGCATATAACACATTCCCTTTGTTGGCTGTACGAGTAAAGGATATCGTTTGTATAAGGTTGCAACCTTAAACAATCCAATTAAAGTGCACCTCCAAATTTTGTCATAAGATGTAATTTTGGTGTAAAATATTTTTAGGATTATTTGAAATTTTATTTTTATATCTAACTATAAAATTTTAAATTCTAAAAATAGTTAAAATCAAGTAGATCTATAAACATATGGAAATCTTGAAATGGATGGTCCAGATAATTAGTTGCAAGATGCATTATTTATGGGACTCAAAATATTTTTTTTTTTTATATTCGTACATCTCAATGTCGAGATGATCAATTAAAGGGCTTTTCAATATTGAAACAACATTTTCTCATGGATTTTTGAAGTGTATCTTTAATTCTACATTTTAAGGTTGCAACCTTATAAAAACTTTTTCCATGAGTAAAAGCCCTGTATATTTGTGAAAGAAGACGTACCTGCAAGGCATTGACCATTGCCTACCATCTCGAAGTGAAACCTGTGTCGTCCTGTTTCAGAGATTTGATTAAATACTAAATAGCATAATAGGAAAATCATCATTCAAATGATCAAATCATTTCAAAAAAATCATTAAGATGGTCACATCAACAAAGTAATTTCTTTAATACGATCATTCCTCTCAAGTACCTCATCAAAATTTTCTTTTAAAAATGCACCTATTTGCCATTTAAATCATTGAATGGTAAGAGGCATTTTGGTGATTTGGCTTTGAACCTAGTTCCAATTTTCAAAAATTGAAACATCAGATTTTAAGAAAAAATCCACTGTGCTCAATTTGGCATGAGCCACTGAGAAAATTTTTTTGAAAATATCCCTGTTTTTCGGTAGCATTTTGAGTAGTACTAACAAATTGGTTTAAGAGCTACTTGCTGAAATAATTTTCTTAAAGTAACCACTATGTTGAAAAAGTTGTTAATTTGAGGTAATTTTTGGAGAATTTATTCTTATTGATGTTTTCTCATAAACATTTTTTATTGCAGAAAGTAAACGCACTAGTAAATATGCAGTTCTCATTATTTTAAGAATCTAAACTATAGGAATTCATGAAATTAGGTGAGTGGTACTTAAATTATGCTGATATCTACATGGCAAACTCTAAGATGAAATTTATTAGTGGAAGCATTTCAATATTATAACTGGAAAAATATAAATGATAAGACCATTTATTTTTGGTAGGAAGAAGTCATAATCACTTTGACTGCTTAAATGTAATTGAGAGATTTTGGTGTCCTATTGATCAATATCAAAGTTCAAAATAAAATTTTTCTGATTTTATAACACATAGTTATCGGTTTTGATATCTCGACAACACGCTAGGCAACTTCCCCTTACCCAAAAAAATAGCTTGGGCCACAAAATTTGGCCCTACAATTGAGCTTGGCCAAGGGCCAAAGATAGCTTACCCAGATTGGATTAGCCCGAATTTGGCAAAGGCCAAGCCGGGTCATTGAACCAGTAGTCCCGATCCCGACCACAGCTTGAGCTTATTCAATTCACCATTGTTTACAATACAAGTTTCTAAAACTAGTGATGGACCCAAGGAAAAGAGAAAGTACGCATGCAATGGCAGTGATTTTTGTCGAAGTGTGTCACCAACACCAAGAACATCAAGGGCACGCCAACCATTCGTCCAAACTCCAAGAGCTGCTCCTTTTGGGCGCAACACTTTGGCTCTCTCCAAAATTAGGGTTTTGATCCCATTTCTGAAAAAATAATAATAATAATAATTAAAAAAAAATTATTATATGCTAAAAAATAGTCTACCCCTTCTGCAGTAGATTGTGCACTTACTCCCTCAGATAAAATCTCTATAATTAATTTAGGAACCCAAAATTCGAGGATGTAGCCTCTTCAACTCATAAATTAATCCCAATAAAAAAAAATTATTGTACCCTGCCATCATTATTATCATCAGACATTTTTTTCCAACTATTTAGAGTCGACTACACAAATTTTAATCTGCGATTTTGCTTTATCAAGGGCCAAGGTGTTTTATTTATTTATTTATTTATTTTATTGAAAATAATCATCTACTAATTCTGAAATAGTTCCCAAAATTTCAAATTGAAAAAATCCTCCCAAGTAGATCTTTTAAACGAGGGATTAAAAATCGACTATATTCTCTTGAGGCAGCATAGTATACGTGCCCTTAGTTTATTATGTATAAGGAGAATATTGAAGAGACCCCCCAATTTTGCATCTTTTTCCTGATATCCCCTCCCTACTTGAATTCTTTCAAATGATATTAGAAACCCTTAAAAAATAGAATGTGAGTTTGTTTATAGCAAATTTTAAACATCCTAACCTTACCGCGAAAATGGGGACATGGGGAAGGTAGTGTCTTTAAAAGATTTCTTGTTACAATGGTAGCAAACCCGGGTTAAACTCAAGTTTGGAATACTTTTTAGACCCCAAATTTTGGAGATGTAACCTCTAGAACCTAATAACCAACCTCGAAAAAAAAAAATTTACATGACAATCTATGCGTTTCAAAAAAATATATTGTTCCAAAGTTGAACAAGAATCATCTATTTCTAGAGGGCAAGATTGAGGTTCTAAACAATTCAATTGCATTTTTTAAAAAAATTTGATCAAAACTCACCTAATTTATCAATCGTTTAGTAAGTCATCTGTTTTTTTATTAGGTTTTCAAAATTAAATGAAAAGAAGTGAGTAAAATTT